CGGGCAGCGTCCCCAGCGCACAGGCTGCCGGGACGAAGTGCCTGGCCCTGGGGATTTGGTGTGGGCGGGTGCCGTTGGGGGGGTTTTTTTCAGAACAGTTGTTCCCAGCTATCCGTGTTAGAAACCTGGCGACTCTCGAATACCTCGCTCCTTTTTTTTTTTTTTTTTTTTTTAATTTTTTTTGGGGCGGGGTTGTGCTGCGTCCAGGGTGGGGCAGCAGCCTCACCCACCCCTACCCCCCACTTCGATCTTCCCTGGCCCCTCGTGTTCTGTGTTACAGCCTCTCTCTTCCTTTATTTTTAAAAATCATGCAATAATAAAATTGCAGTAGTGACCTGGTGCCAGGAGCTCCGTTCTGGTTCTGCCTTTCCCTGGAGGGGGGGGACACAACACCCGTTCCCTGCCTGCTGCTGCCTGGGGGACGGGGATGCTGTGGGGTAGGCAGGGGCCAGCTGGACCCCTCCTGGCAGTGATGGGGGCACGGGGGGGCTTTTGCCCACCCCCACCCCATCCAGCCCCAGCGGAGGAGCCCCAATGGAGCCGTGGGGTGGGACAAACCCCACTTTATGTCCCAGGAGCTGGGGATGGCTGGACCCCCCCCCACTTCCCTGGCTTCGGCTGCCCCCTCAGGCTGTGCCCCCCCATTTCCCGGGTGACTCTGGGATGCCGCAGAGGGGCCGAGCTGCCAGGTTCCTCCCCGCTGCCCTGGGAGCTGCCTGGTGCGGGAGCACCCCCAGCAGCTGGCCAGGCCCCTCTGCTCCCCAGCTCCGTGCCACGGGGCCCCCCCGTTTCACCCGGGCCCACGGGTGGGGGGTCCCCACCGTCCCCCAGGAAGAGCACGCTGCAGTTCGGGCACCTGCAGGAGTGGCCGATGGGTGAGTTCAGCACGGCCAAAATCACCGGGGCCAGGTGGTCAAGTGTTGGGGTGTCCCGAGCCCCCCCTGGCCGAGGTGGGGGGTCCTCTGCTGGGTGCCTGGATGCTGCGGTGTGGAGGATCCCCTCAACCTGAGGCTGCAGCAGCACATGCTGAGGGTCTGAGGTGGGGCATAGGGGGTCTGGAGGATGCTGGAGCATCTGGGGGGTCAGGGCTGGGGCCGTAAGGGCTCCCGGGGTTTGTGGGGGGCCACAGCTGTGGGCATAGATGAGTCTGGGGGGGTCCTGGTGACCCACCGGCTGGGGCAGGGTGCTGGACAGAGGGGATGCCCCGGGGCATCGCAGTGACCCCAAGACTGACCACGTCCTGGGGCTGGGCACTCTCTGACCCCCACCCTCACAGCTACTGGCTGCACCAACCCCTGCGCCCTCCATGGCATCGGACATGGGGAGGCTTGTCCCAGCAGGGGTCCCGGCACCGATGCCTCCCCTCCCACTCGCAGGCCAGCGGCCCCCCCAGCATCCCCCTCCCTGGCCTCCCTCAGCAGCAGGACCTACTTCTTCAAAGGGGGGGCCAGGGGGTCCCCACCGCCACCCACATCCCCCCTCAGCTCCGGCCGCAGGTGACGAGGTCTGGCGGTACCGGGGGGGGCTCACGCCAGCCCCCCGTGATGCTCTTTAATGCGGCAGCCCCGGTACAAGCCCAACACGGGCAGGCGGGGGGGGCCCTTCCCCAGGGTGGGGGCCACCGTGGTCCTCGGGGGGCTCGGGGCAGGGCTGGGGGGCCGGGGAGGCCCCATGGCAGGGTGAGACACCCCCCCCCCAGTGGGGTTAAGGCTTTTGGGATCCTCCCCAGTGGAGGGTGGGAGCTGGGCTGGGCCCACGGTGCGTGCACAGCATTTGGGTAGGTCCTACAAAAATAAAAGTGGGGCTTTATTTTTAAGGGGTCCCCTCCGGTGCCGGGGGCTGGGCAGGAGCTGGGGTGAGGGCTGCCCCCCAGGCTCTCCCCTCTGCGGGGCTGGCGAGGGGCTGCAGCGGGTATGGGGGCAGGTTATGGGGCAGGCTGC